CACTAACTACCATAGATCCAACTTCGTATTTGCTCAGCAATCTGCTATAATCGAAGGCACCAACATTTACACAGCTTACGCCAACAACGTTCACCGTAGATTTGATCAACGCTTTCGACGTGCCGCTAACGCTTTACTTCGCATATGGCAACGAACAGCAGATTTGAGACAAGATCTGTTTGCACAAGGTATGAACGATGACGAAATCAAGCAACGCATCCGACAAGGCGCCTTTCTACCAGCGCAGACACTCAAGCAGGCTATTTCGCAGTAACCTATAATTATGGAACAATTCCCTCAAGAACCTGTTTATACGCGCGCTCTTAACACCCTTCGGGCTGTTTTTGATGCTTATGGTGAAGGCTACAACTTTGGCGAGCATGGGCTTTATTATGATGTCAAGCGTAACCTTGTCAACCACTTTAAGGCCTCCTATCAGCTTTCTCGTCTTTTTGAACGTCTTGATTTGCCTGCATTCAGTTGCTTTCCTCTCCGGCGCTCATGGTCTCCTTGTTATGATATTACCAACAAAATTCTCTGCCAAAACATCCTGGGAATTCGATGGTCTAATGCTGTCGATAAACTGGGCTACTGGTGCCGAGTTGTCAACCTTGACTCAAAAGCCCTCAAGCCGTAAGAAGGTGGACAACTTAGATTCCGTGGCACTATTCAAACCGATGGCGTTGGTGTTACGGTTTTCAAGAAGAGGTTCGACAGGCAAACAAGATACACGGCAAGGTTCACAGTGAAGTATGAAACTACCTCCTACATCATCGATCTAATTCGTCGAAATCGTCAAGAGATTTCTGGTCGGTGCGTCGTTGTGGGCCCAGGAAAAAGAGATATGCTGTATTGTGTACATGAAAACTCTACACCAGAACAACCGGTGCAATTTCGGTACACTAAACAACAGCAAGGCAAGACGTAGAAAGCCAAAAAGTACTGTCGAATCTTGCAAGATCTCAAATCCCAGGATTTTGATGTCGTTCAAGCTGAGTAAGCCCTTTCTCAACAGCCAAGCAACACCATATCTGTAGAACGCTTTGACTACTTCCTTCAAGCTAGGTCTGAACAGTTTATCGCTCTCAGTGATTTCTATAGACATACCATCACAAACTATGATAATGGATGCTCCCTCTTTCGCAAGATCCGTCTTTCAGCGTACTTCAACAAACAACGTGTCGATCAAAAGCTTATTCAAGACTTACGCGCCAAGTTTGGAGAAGACGCCGTGTTTGTGATGGGAAACTGGTCCGCTCCCCATGCTAGGTATCATGAGCCCATCCGTGGCCTTGGTTTCCGAAGACTCCTCAAGAAGTATGGGTTCCAAGCCTATCTTATAGATGAGTACAAGGCCAGTAGGTGCTGTCCAACGTACCACAACGAAAGCCTCCGCACGTTCCGTCGTGTTCCAAATCCACGACCGTATTAACGAGAGCGACATCCTACTGCTGTCTGCCATGGTCTTTTAAGGTAATAATACATTAGCCACTTAGATTTATTTATACCGATTGAACATTGCTTGTAGATGCACCAACCTATACTCTAGACCTGCCATGGCAGCGCCGGATAGATATCGCTTATGGAACAGGGACGCTGCAGCTTGTTTCAACTACATGCATATCCTTCGCGGGCTTCGACGTAATGGCATAGTTGCTCATAGGTTTTGCCGGGTTGCTGTTGCTCCTACAAAACGTCGAAGAAGAGTGGACGATCAGGAGCAATCAAGAACTAGAATACGTTTAGACGATGATTCTTCGTCCTAGTTATCACTAGGACACATCTAGATGCCTTCGGAGTAAGGTATATATAATAATTCTTTTACATAACTAACTGTATGATTCTCTACATTCTCTCCTTGGTGCTTGTCTCTCTAGTCTTTTACATTTGCTATTCGCCTCCTTTTGTACGTATTTTATCTTTAACCTTTGCGTAAATATTTATTTTTAATAAAACAGTACGGCTATAGCCTTGTTTTAATAATATAATAATTATCTAAAAACTGGATTGCAGCATTTGCTACAGAATGAACAAGCTGCTCTCTACTTTCTGGAGTGAGTCTGAATCTCTGGGGTATTTCTATTTGAATAGCATCAAGTCCTTGTCTAGCCTTATCATTGTGATGGTGATATGTCTGTATCGTGTAAGCTCCACGGAAATATTCGTCCCCTGGTTCAAAGTTATCTGTAGACGGGACAGCAGTTATATTACTATTATAGTTGACTATGTTATCACCAAACTGTTTCAGCAGTTTGGAGGGTTCAATTATGCTCTTGTGCCTGCTTGCTAATGATTGAATAGACGACTGCTTCAAGGCAACTTGATTTAATATATCAGAACTTGACCTCATATCTGTAGGTTCTATCAAGTAACCCAGTTCGATCATGCCTTGAGGGTGAGTATGCCCTATTATGTGTGTGTACCTCGATTAGTACACAGAAAGAAGAAAAAAAAAAGAAAGGGAATGATAGAGTACCATGAATGTCTATGAGTAAGCCAAAGCTATGCCTACGATGCAAGGCTTCAATGGCATCCCTAATGCGACTGTGATACTCTATCCACATATGTCGACCTCCTTCCGTTTCTGTGCCTTCATCAATATCCCTGTTTGGATCTGCTTTTCTTCTACTTATTGTGTTGACTACAAGATGAGGTGAATGTCCATAATGTTGCTCGATTCTCTCATAAATGTCCTGTGCTATTTCTGCCGTATACAAATCTGTCAAGACTAGACTACCGTTTTTAACCCTGTCAGGTATTGTCGTCGGTCTCTTCCAACCGCCATGTGGAGCAGTAATTACAAGTGGCAAAAGACCAGGTTTAAAAATGACATTACTAGAGGCTGGAGAACTGCAATCATGGCGGCTACTATGACTCATTATAAGGAACAAGGTAAAAAATATAAAACTAACTAGCAGCTTTAATATCATTGACGTAAAAAAAAAAAACCAACTCGATAGGGAAAAGAGTTACATCATAAATAAAATTGTCATGGTTTTAAATGTTTATTGTTTACAATGAAAATATGTTTAAAGGTCGATATGTCGTTCTGCAGTGGTGCTACGAGCAGTTCCAGCAGATAATTCATGTTCCCAAACAAGCTGCTTATTAATAGCACCGACGTATGCCTTGGCTGTGGCTGTAATGATATCTACATCAGCAGAGCTTTGACTGAAAGCAGCCTTGGCAAGGCGCTCATCCTTAATTGGGCCAGCTTCTGTATCTACTTTGATCTGGATTTCGGCTTTGCCAAGAGCGTCAGTGCCTTCTCCTACTGCACTAATGTCAAACTTGGTAAGAAGGAAGCGGCGGCCTATTGAACGTTGAATTGCTTCAAAGATGGCATCAACAGGACCGTTTACGCTGATGGCTGCGTCACTGATTTCTCTGTCAGCCTTGATATCATATAATTTAACATTAGCCATAGAGGTGATATTAGCGCCTGCTACCACTTGAGTGGAAACGAGAGTATAGAAGGCATGTGTCACACTGTCACTGATCTGGTTGCTAAGAATGGCCAAGATATCTGCATCGTTTACGTTCTTCTTTCTGTCACAAAGAGCCTTGAAGGCATCAAATGCCTTTTGGAATTCGTCGTCTTTGATGTCAACAAAGCCCAATTCTTTGCAGCGCTCACGGAAGGCATTACGGCCAGAGTGTTTACCAAGAACGAGGTTGATATCAGTCACACCTACTGTCTCTGGTGTGATGATTTCATAAGTCTGACGGTTCTTGAGAACACCATCCTGATGGATACCAGATTCATGGAGGAATGCATTTCGACCAACGATAGCCTTATTGGGCTGAACGATCATACCAGAGAGAGAAGAAACCATCTGTGAGATACGGTAAAATAAGGTTGTGTTGATGGTATGATATACAGGATAATAATTGGGATGTGTGTGAATGGCCATGACTACCTCTTCCATAGATGTATTTCCTGCTCGCTCACCAATACCGTTGATGGTCACTTCAACTTGCCTTGCACCATTGGAAATACCAGCCAAGGTGTTTGCAGTAGCCAAACCGAGATCATTGTGACAGTGTGTAGAAAAGACGGCCTTATCGGCGCCGGGTGTATTGGCCACAAGATACTTGATAAGGTTACCATATTCTTCAGGTGTGTTGTATCCCACTGTATCAGGAATATTGAGTGTAGTCGCTCCGGCTTCAATCACTTTGCCAAGTACGTGACAAAGGAAATCAGGATCAGATCGTCCAGCGTCTTCAGGTGAAAATTCAATGTCGTCTACAAGAGTTCGAGCAAAGCTTACTGCAGCCACTGCACGTTTAACACATTCATCTCGGTCGATTTTGAGCTTGTACTTAAGATGAAGATCTGATGTAGCAAGGAAGATATGAATACGTCTACGAGGTGCATTCGCAATGGCCTCGGCACAGCGTTTGATGTCGCTAGGAGTAGCACGAGCAAGACCACAAATGGTCTGGAGCAAATGGGTATTAGTAATTGATCATGACAAGTATGATCTTGCTTACCATAGGCTGACCGATCTTTTCTCTTCCTTCCATCATAGGGCCTACTTCAGTCGCAATTCGTTTGACAGCTTCAAAATCACCGACAGAAGCGACTGGGAAACCTGCTTCAAGAACATCTACACCCAAACGAGAAAGTTGCTTTGCAATTTCGATTTTTTCTTCAGTGTTTAAAGTGACACCTGGAGACTATAAAAAATAACTTGTTAAGAAAGACAAGCTGACAGTAGGCCATTATCTCTTACTTGTTCACCGTCACGAAGGGTTGTGTCAAAGACGATGAGTTTATCTGTAGCTTTTGTGGTAGAAGACATTCTGATGTTGATATACAAGACTAAATAAATAAACAAATAAAGCAGAAAAAAAAAAAAAATAAGGACTTAAATAGATAATTGCTTTGTAAGATCTGCTTTAAACCTTCAACTTATTGAGCCAATCAATAACGATCTTCAGCATAAGTCATAGTCAACGATATCCAATTCTGAGATACAATCAAAAATCAAGCCTTACTATTGGATAAAGTCTTTTTGTGTCATAGCTTGTTGACCATCCAGTTGTGTGTGTGCAATAAATTATATCCCACTCCCTTCGTTACAGAAATGCAGCTATCATATGGTCCAATCGTAATTTATAAACACTTGTAGTAGTGTCATAATGTATTAATAAGAATACCACTACAACAATATATTTGACTTGATAAAAAAGGGAGGCCCTTGCGCGCATAACAGTTAATCAATCATCAAAAATACAATAATGACTTTAACTAACCTCGCATACGTTAAATGACCTTTACCTTTTCTTTTGATGTATAATCAGTGAGGCCACGTGATTCAAGTCATTTTACATCTCGAAAGTGTTGAATGGTTGTACAAGAGCAGGACAACGGGCAAAAACTTCCAGACGCCGTATTTCTTCAGACAGAGCTTCAGCTGATCTGTAATGATCAATTGTGATTTCTTTATTGTATTCAAAAATTTCTGAATAATCTCAAGCAAAATAACAAAACTATCTAGGCAAACATGATTTTGCACATAGGGATAGTTTAGCGTGAACTGACGTAAGCCTATTCACGTTTTCATTCGAGAATACAATTTGTCGATCATAGGGATGAGGAACTTCACCGCTGACAATGGTTCAAAGAATAATGCATATTTAATTATACTGAGAGGGTAAATGAGCTACGAGTCTCAAATTGAGACACAGCAATAGCGTTAGTAAAGAAGAAATTGACATATTTTCGGATACATACCAGGTCAGATTGTGGAGAGTAAAAAAAGCAAGTAAATAAATAAATTAGCTTATTGATTTATGTTCTTTAATAAAACTTACCCAAAAAGTATTATAGCCAACGGCTATAAGCCTATCTACGTTTCTTTTTCAGAAAGTAGCTGAGAGGTATTCAAATTCTGCAGTTTTGGAGAGACTGTATTTTGGATCAAACTGAGGGAATATAGCCCCGAAAAGAAGAGTTGTCAGGCCAGATAAGCCTATGGCCATAGCACTTATATTGTCACGAGCATGGATGGCTTTTCCCGCGAGAACAGAAGGGAAATCCGGATTAACACATTGAAACGTACCGTTCACAGCTTTCAGCTTGGTGTTTCCAGTAACTCGCAAAGGATACTGGAGCTCCTTGAAGCAAAAAAGGTGAGTTTGCGAGGTATTATGTTCGTTAGTAATACATACAGAAGTGTACAAACTGTTTTTTCTTGGCTTCCATTGACCTCCATATTTCAAATTCCCTTTGATTGTGGAACCAACACGATAGCCTCTATCACCAACAAACATAATATATTGTGATTTATCAGAGCTTGTAACGTATTGATGTTCACTGGAGCATAATTTATCAATATATCTTCGCCTTTGCAGCTCGTAGGTACGCTTCTGTCTTACCGTTGTTGGTGGGTAGTAGAAATCCCTCAGTTGCTTTCGATGTCTTACGGCTTGTTGATACCACTCTTCAAGTCTAGCAACGCTTTCGTCTTTTTTGATACTTTTTCTACTAGCTGCATTTTCAACGCTCGTTATCCTTTGTGCGTTTGCTTTCTTCGCTCTTTGAAGTTGCAATCGAAGCTTCTGAGCCCTACTGCCGTAACCCACTTGTTCTGACTTCACTTTAAAAGGCTTTTCAAATTTTAAAAAAACGACTTCGAAGTGGAACTGGATTTATAATAGATTAAGTCAAAAGTATATGAGAATAAGAAATGTATATACTTACTCTTGTTGTATAAATCCAAATGAAATCTGAATCTTGAAGGCGAAAGGAGACTGTTTCTGTCATAGTTATGAGACCATTGTCTGTACCAGAGAACTTGAGCTTATCAGAAATTAAGAAGTCTTTGTCAACTTTAAGTTTTTCGATTTCGTCCATGATTTTGTAGTCGTTTCGAGTAATAATGCGTTTATGCTGGTGTGCAATTTCATCAGGAGTTGCTCGTACAACGCCACTGTACATACTTTGCTTCGCGTCTGATAGTTGCTGTTTAGTTTCTATAATTTTTAGGTTAACCTCGTCTCGTGCTTTCTTTGCATTGTTTATCATTTGGAAGGTTTCATAATTTTTCGCTTCCTCTGTGTATGCCAGCCTCCTAGACCTACAATCAATCTATTCGTTCTTCAATTTGTTCACATTGTTGTTAATCAAGAAAATTCGTCTTTGAGAGTTTAGCTGTAGTAATTGTCTCTTAAGTGCATCGATATTTGCTTGTAAAACAGCAATGTTACTTGATTGTTCATGTTCAATAAACCCACGCTTCCTTTTAATATGTCTTTCTTGAAGCGATGTCAAAGAATCTACAGACGTCTGGTTTTTCAAATATCCATTAACTCTGGCTGTCCTGAGGCCGGGTAATACAAGCATATTATGAGCAAATGTCAAACTATATCCTGCACAAAGTGATGTAATTTTGTCGATATCAAAAAAGAGCTAAAAACTGCGTCCTTGGACTCTGTGGCAACTTGTCGACTCTTGGTTTGCAGATAATCAAAGTCAAAAATCTCCATCTCATCGTTTTTTGAACAGAACATGGCATATAAAGATGACGCATCGAGTTTAAAAGCGAGAAGTTTATGTGGAGTTGTCAATGGAACCAACTTGACCATAAAGTGAGTATATCCACAACACCGAAAGAGATCATTAGCCATCAGGAAAAATGAAAGTTGATGCATAATATGCTGTAGTTTGTCACCAGACGGCAGATATGGCAGCAGAAAGTTGGTAATTAGTACACAAACATGCAATTCGTCTGGCTTAATATCTGATAAGGCATCTTCATATATCTTTCGTTTACCTTGTGACCAAATTGCTTGAAAATTACTTGTCATATGATAGTTCTTAAACGGTTCATTCTTCTAGTAGCGTTTTTATTAATTTCAACTGTTTCGCCTTCAAGTACTGCTACTTCCTGAGCTGCAATAAGATGTATATCAGCTGTAATCTCTAGAGCATCTGCTTCATCATCTTCTGACATTGCTGGTAATGTAGCTCTTGGATTGACAGTGGTTCTCTATAAAATAGAAATTAAATTATTGAGAAATTAATGAAAAGCATATCTACAATAAGCTCACTTCCTTCTGTAATGATTTTTTATATTTAGCAATGTCCATATCACTTTTTTGAACTTTAGGCAGCCACCGGTTCTCGTTTAATTTGTCATTTTGTGCCTTTTGAAGGTATTCTTCGCATTTTATATTTTCATTTCTAAATAGCTTTCTTCTTCTGTTGTAAGGCATTTTGAAGGATCCATTGGGGCTTTCTGCGGGTCGTTTACTTTTCTTTTCTCGTTTTAGTCGTTCGCATTTAGGAGGCAAGTGTATCCTTAAAAGTACAGTAATCACACGGTTGAGTAACCTGTATAACGGAACTTGTTAGACTATAAGTTCTTGAAGTTGGCTAAATACTTGTTAAGAGATATCTTCATCAGGCATGGTTCGATTGATTAATCCACCATCATGTCTCTTTTTGGAAGAGCATCGAATAAAGCCTTCTCAAAAGGATGCTTTGTCAGTTTGTCTATATCAACGCCCCTGGGGTCGAAATAATGTGCATGTATTGTCCGTAAGCGACCGCTCTTGAAAAGATTGGAAAGTTTCTTTTCTAAAGCTACTGTTGGTGTACAGACCTTATTTAAAGGTAGAGGAAAATATGCAACGTCGTCCTGTATGGGAAAATCTTCAGGAAAGATCTCTTGAACATTTACACCATATTTGGATATCATTAGCAATAATATAATCACTCACTGAAGCCATGGCTTGGTTTATAGTGTCCAGGAAGGCATCTCTGATATCCACAGATAAATCTGATCGTAAAAGAGGAAGTAAAGACGTACTGAAGGGTCTTATAGGCACTTCTTCTGGGACGCTAACGCTGGGCTCATACTGTTCCATAGTCTCTTTTCCGCTTTCCTTTTTAACTCTATAGGTAATGTTATCGAACTGCTCTTCTGCATAATTTTTCCACATTTGTACTGGTGTTTTCTCTTTTCTTTTCTTTTTTCTTTTCAGGAAATCCTCTATCTCTGTTGCCTTTAGCTGTAGTCTGGAGACAGCATTGGTAACGATTCCTCTAGGCAATCGAGATCGTGACAACATATTTTGGCGAAACTCGTTTAAGCTTCGGTTTGCTCTATAGCACTCGCAAATGTCCTCAGAAACCTATATTTCTAGCTGCTCCAAGAAGTCACTCATGAGGAATTCATCCCTGCATTTTGCTGTAAATGGGCGTTTTGATGTGTCCCTGTCTCGTCTACACTTTTACTTCTTGATCTTTTTGTAGTTCTTGTCACCCAAGAAGCAGGTAGATTTACTACAGTTTCAATTTCAATACAAAGGTGGAATGTGTTGCTATATCAGACGACAGTTACACCAGTCTGTACCCTCCTTTTCTCTGCTTCTTCTTTCTTTGCAGGTTCACAAACTAAAAAATATGCAGAAAACTAGAAAGAGTATATATATTTTTTTATTGTCAATTAACTAACATTTAAAGAAAGCTGCTGTCAATAAACATCCTTCAAAATTCAACTGAGTCTATATTCTGACAAGGAGGCTCATAAGATGGCAGGGACAAGAGTTGAGTCTGAAGGCTCAAATACTGTGCAAAAATAATAAAACATCTTGTCCAAACGAGATCAATTTATTTGAATGTACATGCTTAGAAAAAGAGCCTCTTTGGGAATTGATTAACAATTCAGCGAATGTTGTCCAAGGGGGAGGGGGATCCTGAGCAGATATAAAAGTATAATGCTGTAACTGATCTAGCTCATATAAGATAAAGCAAGATATCAACCATAAATGTTATTCAGGGAGTCTCTAGATTCAAAAAAATAAAGATATGTTGTGAATTTAAAAGGATCTACAGTTGTTTTTGGTATGCAGAGATAGTAATACATATTGTATAGTGAATATCACGTCATTTGGAAAGGGTATGATTAGGGTGCTATGGGAAAACCTCGAGGAAACGATCTTAGTGTTAATCTAAACTGCCATCGTATTGCATAGACTTTTCTCTTCTAACAAGTCGTTGTCAGGCATAATATGATATCAAAAGAGGCCTTATGATAATTGAATAACAATTAAGAAGCGTCTGATGGATTTAGACTCGCGCGCGCAAACAACTAATTCGTCAGGTGGGAAAGAATCATCCGCCCAGTAGAGTTTTGGACAACTGATACCAAAGATGATCACGTGTATATTAGCTATGAGTTATCAAGACATTAACTTACCTTTGAATAACATCAATGAGCAAAAAAAAACAACAAGCTTAAAGAAATACATTCTCTCTTTTGGTCATAGAGGGACAGCTTAACAAAAAGGTTAAAGCTTCACATCGGTAGAAGGACAGCTATTTTTGAAAGAGCGACATTAATTTTTCTATGCGATATCACTTTCTGGATGCACTATTTTCCCATTTTGTATTATTTTCTCTCTCTCTTTCTCTGCTGTCTCTCTCTTTTATATAAGCTCAACCATTCTTTATTATTTATCTTTCTCTTGTTTAAATTGACAACGCAATAATTACTTGTCTCTTATATGCGACTATTGCTATATTATGCAGTCGTCGTCCAATAACTTTAATCAACCAACTGGTTCAAATGTTCCTACAGCATCTACATCATCAACAAGAAATTCAAAGCTAGAACAAATTATACAGGTTGGAAGAACTATACATTTCTTTCTAGAGAACCTTAAACCCATACTTTTTACACGTTAGAACTTTTATACGAAAACAGCACAGATTATTGTCCAGGGACGCCTTACAGCTTCAAATACAAAAAGAACTAGTATTAGAGGATATGGATCTTCAGTCAGAAAATGGAATAAATGGGTACATAAAAAATATATCATCGATTAATGTGCTTATTAGTTTACTTATCAATCAAAATACATGTAGTTTAATATTGCAACTGAAGATATAGAGCTACTGCGGGAAGATTTGAAATATTGGAGAAATCTAACTGTGATGGATAATGAGGAGCAAGTGCCACCGATGACGATAGATATCTATTTGGATACGTCCAAGCTAACACCAAACCAAACATTAATGGCTGTGGATGATAATCTTCGATGGGGATATGTAGACGTACTTCATGTCAACCGTATCTTGATCGAAACTTGGGTGCTCACTTTAAAGTAAATATGAATACAATATAAGGGATACACTAAACATTGCTCAACCTTATTGTAGATATCCTCCTCCTTCAGACTACGCCGTGGATTTACCTAATTTATATAAACGCTCAATTGTATTTTTTAGATCTCTACACTCCTTTGTTAGGTTACTACCCACCTATGATCTTTACCGTAAAATACGTAAATTAAATGAAGCCAACCCATTATCTATCGGCTACCGTCTTTCTTCCAACCCGAAGGCGCAGTATAACTCAGAGATATCCTTGGGTAAATCAATGAGTAGTTTATCTTTTTTTTTTTTGGCTCCCTTTTTTTACTAAATTATCTATAGATTCCACCATTCTCGAAAGCGACGCACGTAAACCGACGAGTCATTATGAGTTCTCTGACATTGTTACACCAATGGGGTAAGTCAATTTCAAATTTAAAGCTGTCAAGATGTTAAAAGTTTACCGCAGAACCTTTAACCTTACTGTAATCTATCGACGAAATTGTGATTTTAAGGTAGAAGATAGAGAAAGAGATCTTAGTGCTCAATTTATCGACATGGATGAGCAATTTTTTACGCCTACAATGACAAAATACCAAGAGGAATACTCAAAGGCTCGACCTACATCATTGTATTCGGTTACACCAAAAGAGTCTACATCTACATCATCTTCAACCAGGGGAGTTTCCAAAGAATCTACTTATAGGCCAAAAAGCAGTAGTTCTCTATCCTCATCCACTCGTCGTTCTTCTGCACCTTTTGCTGTATCACCTTTCAAATCACCTTTTTTATCATCTTCCCCACAAACAGATTCTATTTGTAAGAAAGGAAAAAAAAAATATCTGTTTACAACAGCTAACTTGCCTTATTTCACAGTCCCAAACACACTTGGACCAAAACAACAACAGACAACGCCCAATCCACCTGGACTGGCAGGTAAGCAGAGCGTGGACAGCGGTTCGTTTGGACGAAAGATTGAGTTTTCGTCGAGTTTTGAAAAATATAAAGCAAGTCCAACGGGTAAAATACCTGACTCGCCTTCACTAAGCAGTATAAGACGTTTATCTCGGAATAGTGATCAGAGCTCCATTTTTAACCAGGATGATGACGAGCTCGAGGATTTTGTGCGGCTGATGGCGTCCAATCAAGAGCTTCGATTATTTCAACAGCGTCATCAGTTTACCTCTCTTTCCACCGATGCCTCAACAGGGTCGGACATGACCAGTAGTATGGGCGGGTCGATATTTACAAACAAAAAAGCGGCACTATCCCATTTTCAAAACCTGCGAGATACACACACGTCATTATCAGAATCCTTGTCGTCCAGTATGATGTTGGGTGCCACAAACCCTAATACCAGTACAGCCAGTAATAGCAATAATGACAATGATGGTAGCAATAACAACAATAATAACAACAATCAAGATTCCGTTACTGGTGTCTCTCCAGTTTCCTCCACATCCTCTACGGGCCGATCCTATCAGCCTATTATACCTTCTCCTTTACACGCCGAACAGAGATCAACTCCATCTGTACATATACCTCGAAGCTACCCTCAAGGACGCTCAGCAGCACCTATTCAACATCACAATCCTCTAAGGATTACAAAAATATCCGATGACGACAATGAAGAGAACAGTGATAGAAGATGTAGCGACCTCCCTGCCTATTCTACCTATCCGCAAGACAGCTTTCACCAAGACTTGCATGTCATGACAAGAAATAGACCTACGACTGAAACAACAAATGGCCTAGGCGAGAGTAGCCTACAGGAAGGCTCACGCCACGGACAGGCGGCCAGTAAAGGAAACCATGGGAGCAGTGTGCTAGATGATGATGATTCGCTTGTTTTCAAAATGAGCGAATTGGGTTGTGAATCTTCTATACAGCCTCAGGAACAGCAAATGTTATATAATAGACCTGGCAACAATAATAGATTACAATCAAGAAAACTTGAGCAATCTTTTAATTTAACTATAGAAGCCAAGCCCACTTCTCCCCCGCTCCATCGTTTACATCAACAGCAACAGCAACAGCAACAGCAACAGCAACAACAACAGCAACAGCAACAACAACAGCAGCAGCAACAACAACAGCAGCAGCAGCAACAACAGTCACCACAACAACCTCACCACCATCACCATCAGCAACAGCAGCAACAACCAAGCGAAAATAGCCAAAGTCCAGCTAGCAAGTCATCAAGCCCTTTACTTCCTTTTGATGCATGGTAATGTACCTAACACTGTGTAATACTATAATAATACGTCTACATAACACAATAAAAAATTATTTATTTGTAAATTATTTAATCAAATGTAAAAGTAAAAATTGAATGAGAACTCAAATCATAACTCAATAGAAAGGGAGTTAGCAAAGATATGAACCTTCTTAACAATAATCAAAAATGATTTCTACTAAATGTTATTCTGTCACTCTCTGGCTGCCATTTAAGACGCTTACATAAATAATTTATAGTAATAATAACAACTATTGAAGGAGAGGGCTATTTTTAAAATGTAAAATTCATGATATATTCCAATATAAACAAGCAACGAGCGGCTCTAGTGCACAAGTTGGAAAAAGTTTATGTTTCAAGTTTAGTTGTTTAAATAAAGAAAAGATTAGTTACAAAAAGAATTCATATCTGTGAATCAATATCAAAGCAATCCATATCTATTTTTGTAACTAAAAAAAGGATACAACTGTATAATTTACCTTTCAACAAATAGTCATTTCCACCTTAACAAAAAACCTTTTTGCGTTTTCAACTAGAAGACAAGTCCATCAAATAATAAACTATGCTTTTAAAATTGATATAGATAACCTTGCATAATAACCATGAGTCAATGCTTCAAAGCAGAAGGCAAGCCATGCTTAGAATGACTATTTACCTGTTAAATAGCTTAGAATCTGAATTTGTTTCTATACAGCTTCAAAGCCTTTGTTTAGCCTAATATATCTTCAGTGCCTTTAAAAGTTTTCAGTATTCAAAAAATCTGAAAGCATCAGTGCTCTATACAATGATCATACGTGCAGCAAGTTTTTCTTTTTCTTTTTCGCGGCAAGCATGACTATGCCATGAATTATACAACACTTATCCTTAAACAGGACTTCTTTGGCTGTTAATACAATTTGTTTAACTTACAAAATCCATAAATAAAAACTACACCGCTGATGACAAGAATTGTAGAGTTTATAAGAGAAAAGCAAGAGTATACCTGGGCTGTTTTTAAAACATTTCTAAGAAATTATACCAAGTCATATCCTGCTATTTATTTTGTTTTTATGTAGGCAATTTTTCTCTTTTTATATTATAAATGATATTAAATCTTCTATTGAATCCTTTGCTTTGTTAACCTATCATTTCTTTAATTTCAGATGTTTGAAAAAACTAAGCTTGCTTGTAACTAGGACGATTTTCCAGTAACAGGATCAATCCAACACTTTTATTTTATGCTTGACATTAAAAAAAAAGCAGAATCTTTATGAGTTTATTTCAAAACACACTCGGAATGAAGCAATTGATTAGGTACACTTATGCTAAACGAATAAATGAGCATTGTTCTATACGAATCCAAATAAATAGCTTATAAAGAACCAAAAAAAGAAAAACGTGTTTTATGCTCTTGATTCATATGAGCTATTTGATTTCTCAGCATAGCCTTAATTTATGGTTTATTCATTTACTAAAAATAATGTGCTCAGCCCACTACTACTTCAACTTAGCAAATGTTGTGGAAACAAACTCTCTTTAAACAAAGATATATCCTTAGCCCAATGCAACGGTATAATTGAAGTTTAGACGTGACATAGTAAATTACAATACTATCGTTTACATTGGTTAAATAAAGACACATAAAGCTTCCTCTTGTTCAATATAAGTCATAGGACGCAATATGAAAGACTGCTTTAGGCGAATTCTGGGTTAGATAGACAACACTTTTCTACAAAGAAAAAAAATTATTTCATTCCTCATAATATAATAGTAATTATCTATGTTGTAACAGAGGCGATTTGTTGGTATGTTTGTCCACAAGCAGAGATCATGATTACACAATGACCTTATCTTGATATCAAAGTTCTGAGTGATGTTGTAATAGATGTATTTGTGCTATGTTGATCACTGTAACCATAAACCTTGATCTACAAACGATCTACTGTCCAACATTTGTATCAATGCGCACAAGAATACTTGAATATAGTGAAACGAAAAAAAAGTTCAACAATAAATGTGCCTCTTGAGTAACAAGACTATACTTATGCTACTGTGCTACTAAGTCACAGTCTTCCAGACATTCTTATACTAACGTATTCTTATCTTTTGGGATCTCCGGTTGTATGTAATAAGCATTGGTTGTACCTGAAGGCTACGCATATTCCAAGTAGAGCTTGTAAAACATGACTAAATATTGAATTGTTGCAAGATTACATATACTCTTGTTGACCCCAGAAAGAAATGCTGATTATCAAGTTGAGATATCTTTCATGAACTGTTTGAGCTGCTTAATTGTATGCTTATAGTATTTATAAGAATAGACAAATGTTAAAATGTATCAATTTACGAAATGATCATGAGGCTTCATGATCGACAAGTGGTGTAACAATGGAACGTGTCGCTTTATGATCAAGTAAGCCTTCTTGACTTTCTTTAGTAGGTAACAACTGTTTGTGGTTCTCCATAGCATTAATAACTTTTACAAGATATAGTTTGTTTAACAGGTTTACTTTGTGTATACATCAACATATTCTGTTATTCTTATTGAAGCAGACATCAGTATAGCGTCAGATGATACAACAAGATTAGAAGCGTTTATGCTGATAAATAATTAAGGCTGCTTTTTATAAGGCTCAGTATTCAAAATAACATTGGGACAAGGCTTTCTTGTATTCGTTTCCTCTTGTATGCGACGATAAGGGATAGCGATCATAAGCGTACTATATAGCGCATTGGAAAGTACCCAACTTTGGTTATATGGGTTATATTCATATTCACAGCAATTACTAGCATGCACATAGAATATACAATAACAAGGTATCGTAATAGGATGTCTTACCCTAAATGAGATTTTTACCATGATTATATTTTCATTGAATAAATATGTGACATAGAGGGCTTTCAACGAATTACTGCAATGGTCCTCTTTTTTGGGAGTTGCGACGTCCTCCCTTATTAAAGGTGAACTTTCTAGCTCATTTCAACCTGCTCATGGACGAATGGAATGAGCATGTCAGTGACGCGAATAAGAAATCTGGGTTTGATTTCAGTGGTGTCTCGGCTGGTCTACAACAGCATTGGTCATTGTCCAAAAGCAAATGCATTAAACTTGAACTTTATTCTTAATTTTGAAGCTGAAGTGCTTAATCAATCTTTAGACATTTGGTTACTCACTTTAGCAACTCGAGTTTCAAACGAGTTTATTTTTCAAGTTTTTCCTGTTTTCTCAATAGGATTCAATTCAGAAGAATAACATAGCAAGACCACACAGTGATATTTTCTTTCTTTTATGCCTGGCTTTTAATGAATAGAGACACACTATCCATTACGAGGTAATAATTATGTACATGCTCAATCATTGTTTCATTGATAACATGCAGCAATAGTTATGGACATGACCGTTTTGTTCAATATTGAAACCAACAAAAGTCTCTTCTAAACCCCTTCATTCGCTTAATAATTATCTAATGGTTTATTATTGAAAAAAACATTATTTAAAACTTTAGATTGCCTCCCTAGTCTTGAAACGAAGAAAGGACAGTAATCTCTAGATCACTGTTGAACTGATTTCTAAGCAAATTAAATGTCCGTCAACAAAAAAGTTAATTTGCAATCCCTGTGAGCAGTCTCAATGATTTTAAAAGATGTATATCTGTCTAATCCTTTTTCTCTTCTCTTCTTCAATTCTTCAAAATGCCTACTCAACTCCTCCCTAACCAAATAAACATACCCAAGTTCAAGCATTTGATCATTTATACTGGTAATATCATGCGCACAACTACTTGTGCGCTAAAATCATGGAATAAAAAATCTAGTTCAGAGGTATGATTATTAATGCTATCCCTTTCAGTGATCTCATCTAACCAATAAAATTTTTTATATACAGTTACTATACGCCATTTCAGATACCTTATCCACTTCTCTAACCTCATCAAGCATGCCTTCTTTTCACTATTCTCCTCTATCAAACACACTAGAAATACCTGATATACGACAGACTAGTCGTATCCACCCTGATGACAGAGATAATGTCGAGGTTACAGGTAAAAAAAAAAGTCTACCAAATGATATGTATACTCATCACCTTATCTCTAGCCAAATTATTCTATTTGAAGCATGACGATCAATCCTTGATATCCTACATTGACGCATCCATTCACCATCTTGAGCAATTGCTAGGCGTAGCTTCAATTGATACATTTGTTGTATCCTTTGCGGATAATGAAAGTTGTGTTGAAAAAACTTGGAAAGATTTGGAGGCTTATCACCAAGATGGAAGAATCAGAAAGCTAGGTGTTTCTGATTTTGATACAGCAAGACTGAAAGCACTTTACGATAACCCATCATTAACGGTGAAACCTTCTTTGAATCAAGTCAATATCGAAAATTGTTGCTCTAATCAAAAGGAGTTGATTGAACTGGGTAAGCAATATGGTGTTGAGATGACGTTTAATGTGGATACAGCAGGTACACAACTTTCACTTTGAATTCTCTACTATCATCTTTATACTTATATCTCTATAGATATCTTAACAACTGAATCACTATCTGACATTTCAAGTAAGCATGGCGTAACCCAAGAAGGCACTACAATCAAGCCTTGTTGGGTAATGAAGTATCATGTGTTCACAAAGAGGACAAGTGTTGTAATGGATAAAGGGTAATAGACATAGTAGAATGTATATTTATAGTATTAACATAAATATAGTTACATTATTGCTGGAGAGACTGAATAATGATCAGATATGTTTATATTTAATGAATAACAATAAAATAATAATAGCTACTACTTTACATAGAAAAATAGAATAATTCCAAGAATAACATAAGAAATGTGACATGTTGCATATGATTTTTGTACTTTTAAACAAAAAGAAACCATTGTCCAAGCTCTTCTCAAAATCAAATCGAGAAATAAGTTGCTACTTTAAGCATTATTTTAGAAGAAAGTAAAAAGGGGAGGGGAAGTATGCATTGATGATCAAAGTGTATGGATTTATCAGCAACAGACTGTTTAAACTTATTGGTTGCCGACCTTTTGGGTTACGATGAAGGTCCGAACAAGCAAAATGTTTTAGTTTTGTTTTTTTTTGCTTGTTTTTTATTATTGTTCTGTATCCAACGATAAAACATGTCAGTACAGCTAAGACTATCTTCGCGTGTGCTGCAGAGGAATATTAGAAGCTATACTACAAAAGGTATGCCATGTTCCCTTTCATTTGCATACAACTCACAACATAAAGCTATTTTGACCCCCGGCCATAAATTACAAGGCTATGAAGTTCAACAGGTTCATTACATAAAGATCTTATGAAAATAACAGCTAAAAACATTTTTTTGTTCAATAGGTTCAACGAGTTCCTGAATTAGAGTTGACAGCTATCAGTTTAAAGCATGAAGCAACTGGGGCACAACACTTGCATATTGACAGAGATGACTCCAATAACGTATTTGCTGTTGGTTTTCATACACCTGTTCAAGATAGTACGGGTGTACCTCATATATTGGTAAACTATAAAAGAATAATACACAGAAAGAGAGGAATTAAGCATTCAATATAGGAACACACGACTTTATGTGGAAGTGAAAAGTATCCTGTGAGAGATCCTTTCTTTAAAATGTTAAATCGAAGCTTGGCTACATTCATGAATGCTTTTACAGGTATATATTTATATATGCTCTATATCATTATCACTCGACTAATTAATCTTTTAGCTAGTGACTATACAATCTATCCATTTGCTACGACAAATACAGTAGACTACGCTAACCTTCGAGATGTGTATATGGATGCTGTGTTCCATCCAAAATTGGATAGGTTAGACTTTAAACAGGAAGGTTGGAGACTAGAGCATCAGATACCGACAGGTAATAGAACATAGCAAAAAAAAAAATGCTGGGGACTTATGAAAAGGTTATAGATCCTAACACACCCATTCAGTTTAAAGGAGTCGTATATAACGAGATGAAAGGACAGACTGTAAGCTTTTTATATCAACAGGGTGTCAGGTCATTAATGCAGATATTAGTCAGACTCCAACTACTTGTTTTATTGCCGCGCAGAGCAAGCAATGCTTCCTGGCACAAATTATGAACACCTCAGCGGCGGTGACCCCAAATATATCACAGACCTCACGCACGAACAGTTGATCGACTTTCATAGAAAACATTATCATCCTAGCAATTCACGCTTTTACACATATGGTACATATTTATAAGTCAAGTAGATAAAAAAAAGGACCTAACCTTGAAAAAAGGCAACTTCCCTCTGGAGGAACACCTGAGAGCCATTGGAGAGAAGCTGAAAGGATTTGAAAAGACAAAAGTACCCACTGTCAATAAGAATGTATCTCCTTGGACTGCACCAAGACGTGTTGAGACAACTTGTGCCTTAGATCCAAGTAAGGATGTATACTTTTTATGCAGTTCAAAATGCTAACCACAGAGATAAATTACTCTTCTAGTGAGCCCAGCCGACAGACAAACAAAACTTTCCGTCTCTTTCCTTGCTAACCAAATATCGGTAGATAGAGAGAGGTTAACTATGACGAAATCAGTTTTTCTTACTATGCATATATATATTTAGGACCCCTTTGAAACGTTTTCAATGCGTGTACTGTCCTATCTTTTACTTGATGGTCATGCTTCACCTATGTATAAAGCATTGATTGACAGCAACCTGGGATCAGAGTTTTCAGCCAATACCGGTTATGATACTAGCGCAAGGTAAGCAGACGTGTGTAAGTAAACAAAGATTTACTTAGCCTTAATCTATTTCAGCACAAGCTATTTGTCTATTGGTTTACAAGGCGTCAAAAATGAAGATGTAGACAAAATAAACAACACGATCAAATCAGTTCTTCATCAAGTCAAGGAACAAGGGTTTGATCCCAAGCGTATTGAAGCAGCCATTCACCAGATGGAGCTCGGACAAAAACACAAGACTGCCGATTTTGGACTTGGTATTATGCACGGCATTACCTCTGGATGGTTTAACGGAGTACAGCCTATCGAGTTGCTGCAAGTAAATAAGAATCTTGACCGACTCAAGTCAGAGATCGAGAAGGGACGCTATTTTGAAAAGTTGATAGAAAAGTACTTGATTGATAATCCACACACGTTATACTTTGTCATGCGACCTGATGAGCAGTACTTTTCTCAGTTAGCTCAGGAAGAGGAACAGAGATTGAAAGAAAAAGTAGACCGCTTAACTGAGCAAGATAAGATTGAAATTGAAAAAGATGGAAAAGAGTTGCTGAAATCACAGGAACAAACAGAAGATTTGACCTGCTTACCCACCCTTCATCTAAGTGACATTTCGACAAAGACAAAGCATACCGTGCTGGAACACACTGGCATTTGTAATGCACCTGTTCAATGGAGAACTACGTCAACAAACGGCATTACATACTTTAGAGCCATTAGTTCACTCCCCTTATTCTCGGATGATTTGAAGATGTATTTGCCATTATTTTGCGATTCATTGCTGTCGTTGGGAACTAAAGATCAAACGATGGCAGAAATCGATGACGAAATTAGACTATATACAGGCGGATTAAAAGCAAGCACATCCATATCTACAAACCACTCTGACCTGGATCATCTTGAAGAAGGCATTGTATTAGCGGGCCACTGTCTGGACAGAAACATTGACAAGATGTACAGCATATTATCTAAACTCATACATGGCACTAATTTTGATAATGTTGAAAAGCTAAAGATCTTGATCAACAGCAATGCGTCATCCATGGTAAATTCGATTGCTGATGCCGGTCATATCTTTGCTCGTACATTCGCCAGTTCCTCTTTAACGCCTGGCATGCATAATACCGAGCTAATGAGTGGATTGACTCAGGTCAGATTTATGAATCAGTTGGCTCAAAAGGAGGACTTGTCTGAAGTAGTTGAAAAGTTGAAGCAAATTGCATCCATTGTGTTATCACAATCCTCATTAAGAATTGCTATTACTTGTGGTGAGGACGCTGTAGAACCTAATACAAAGTCGCTTGTGCGATTCATCGAAGGATTGCCTACGGACACCAAGAAACCTGATCCTAGTAGTGCAGTGGTAAAGCATTTAACAAGAAAAGATAAAGAGAGTACAGTTATTGATTTTTTTGGTAGAATATATTCAAACCCAATTATCCCAAGACGTTCTTCCCTCTACCCTTCCAAGTGAATTTTGCAGCACAAGTAATGAAAGGAGTGCCCTATACACATCAAGATGGGGCCAGCCTCCAAGTGTTATCCTCCCTTTTGACAACGCATTACTTACACAAAGAAATTAGAGAAAAGAATGGAGCCTATGGAGGAGGGGCTCGATATGGAGGATTGAACGGAATCTTTTCATTCTACTCATATAGAGATCCACGTACATTAGAAACCCTAGACACATTCAAGAAATCGATCGAGTGGATCAAACATCGTGAGTTCACAGACCAAGAACTTACCGAATCAAAACTATCTATATTCCAAGGAATTGATGCACCCTTGAGTGTATCAGAAGAAGGTATGCTCGAATTTGTACATGGCGTATCTGATGAAATGAGACAATGGTAAAAAAATAGAAGGTATCACAGAGACACAGACTTATTTTGCATTTCTATATAGGCGACGTGAGGCACTTTTGAACGTATCTCAAGATGATGTACATAGAGTAGCATATGAGTACCTTGAGAAACCTGGCTCTGTTGCACTCTTAGGAACACAACAACTAAACTTAAACGAGGAGTGGGCCGTAAGTCAATTATAACGCTGACAAATGATTTATTGGGAACTTAATTCACATGAGCTTGAATTCTCGCTTCGGTTTCTTAAATTTAAATAAAATCACATGCAGTCATCCTTCCGCAACCATTTTCCGAGTTACCCATCTGCTTACATATGATTCATTACACACACTTAAAGATTGATTTAATATAAATAGATGACATTTTCTTTTTCTTTTCCTTTTTTTTTTCTCTTCTTCTTTAATAAAACAAAAAAATGGCTATTGATCAAGAACAACAACTCTTCCTTGAAGAAGTAGAACAAGTAAAGAAATGGTGGGCATCACCACGCTTTGCTCACGTCAAGCGTCCTTATACTGCTGAAGCTATTGTATCCAAGCGTGGTTATTTCCCTATTTCTTATCGATCTGATGTTCAAGCCAAGAAGTTATGGAAGATCCTCCAAAATAACAAGGCTAATGGCACTACTTCCCACACCTTTGGTGCTCTTGATCCCGTTCAAGTCACTCAAATGGCTCCTCATCTTGATACTGTCTATGTCTCTGGTTGGCAATGTTCTTCAACTGCTTCTACCTCTAATGAGCCTGGTCCTGATCTTGCTGATTACCCTATGGACACTGTTCCCAACAAGGTCGAACACCTTTTCTTTGCCCAACTCTTCCATGACAGAAAGCAACGTGAAGCTCGTCTTGCAATGACTCCTGAAGAAAGAGCCAAGACTCCTTTTATTGACTATCTCCGTCCTATCATCGCTGATGGTGACACTGGTCATGGTGGTATCACTGCTGTGATGAAGCTTGCAAAGATGTTTGTTGAGCGTGGCGCTGCTGGTATGCACGGTAAGTATTCCTATTATGGTTAAAGTATTTCAAAAAGCTAATTGTTTGTTTACAGTTGAGGATCAATCCCCCTCCACAAAGAAGTGCGGCCATATGGCTGGTAAAGTCTTGGTTCCTATTGGAGAGCACATCAACCGCTTGGTGGCCATTCGTGTTCAATACGATATTATGGGCGTTGAGAATTTGATCGTTGCTCGTTCCGATGCGGAAGCTGCTACTTTAATCACCAGCAACATCGATACCCGTGATCACGAATTCATTGTTGGTACCACCAATCCAAACATCGGCGCTTTGGCTGCCGTCATGAACGAAGCTGAACGTTCTGGCAAGACTGGTGCTGCCCTCCAAGCTGTTGAAGATGAATGGATTGCTAAGGCTGGCCTTAAGCGTTACGGTACTGCTGTTGCTGATGAATTGATCAAGCTTGGCAAGAAGAAGGAAGCACAAGAATACCTTTCCAAGATCCACTTCAAGTCTAATGCAGAAGCTCGTGCAATTGCAAAGAATGAATATGGCATTGATATCTTTTGGGATTGGGATCTTCCCCGTGTCCGTGAAGGTCTTTATCGTTATGAAGGTGGTACTGAAGCAGCTACTTCTCGTGCTATTGCCTTTGCTCCATATGCTGATATGCTCTGGATGGAAACCAAGAAGCCCATCCTTGCTCAAGCCAAGCAATTCTCTGAAGGCGTCTTATCTGTTTATCCTGAGAAATTCTTATGCTACAACTTATCTCCCTCATTCAATTGGGATGCCGCTGGTTTGACTGATAACGACATGGGTACTTTTATTCAACAATTAGGTAAACTTGGCTTCGTCTGGCAATTTATTACTTTGGGTGGCCTTCATGCCAATGCCCTTGCTTCTGGTAAAGTATAAAAAAATGTCACATTTATGCAAATTACTAATGTTATAACGTAGCTACTTTTGCAAAGAGCTTCAAGGAACAAGGCATGCTTGGTTATGTATCCCAAGTTCAACGCAAGGAACGTGAACACAACGTTGATGTACTCCAACATCAAAAATGGTCAGGTGCAAACTATGTAGATGAACTTATCAAGGTTGTTACAGGTGGTGTAGCAGCCACAGCTGCTATGGGAAAGGGTGTCACTGAAGATCAATTCAAGGCTTAAATTATTGCATATAAATTATCATTTGTTTCTTTGTAAAATAAAATAGACACATCACATTATGTCACATCCACTTTTTTCTTTTTCCCCGCATTTTGACGAAAAGGCTAAAAGTTAAGGAGAAAGTGACATGCTTGCTATTTTTGGAAGGGGTCGTTCTCAACTGTGTGAAATCGGTATGCACGTGAATGGGTGTCATTGCAAACGATCATGTGACCTGTAAATAGTGGTATGCATAATGATTGCACATAGTTCTACATGCACAGTGGCATATATTACAATCTAATTATTCTAGCTTGCCTATTTTAGCCACGGTGAACCTTGAACACAACATGCCCAAAACTGATAGGTATTTGTCACAGTTGGAACTGTAGAACAACATTTATGTGTAAACAAGAACTTGTTTTTTTGCTCAGCCTTAATAAACACACTCAAAAACCAAATGGTTTCCTAGTAACAAACTCATAAAGGTATTTATTTATACTTTTCATCACCTTTTGTGCATTCGCTTTGTTCAATGTTTGTTTAAACGCTCTTACCACAATCATGTATTCAGTAAAAATGCATAATTCGCAATATAGCTGTTTATTTGTTATATAAATATCAATAAACATTATAATGTCGTGCTCTATGTTCAGTACTTTTCTTTTCTTTTAATAGTCAATCAAAGGAAGCAAGCAATGTTTGTAAATGTACTTATTCATGGACATCAACGTCCGCGCTATGTTCCTTTTCGATTTTATACACCATAAAAATATTACATCTCTATTAGCCAATCACAGTCCCTAGAAAATCATTTAGGAAATCTCAAGAACTTTTTTTTATAAACTTCTATTTCTAGGATTAAACACATAAAAAAATAGCTTCTCCGCGTTTTATTAATAGGTATAAGAATAAGCTATTTTTAAATACATGCACTACAATAGTTATTTATAAAATGTAGAAATGGGAAGGAAAAAGATCAAGATTCAAAAGATTCAAGATGAAAGAAACAGACAAGTAAAATAATGAGCATAATGAATAAGGGACATGTTATTCACATCATCAGGTCACATTCTTAAAACGAAAACAAGGTTTAATGAAGAAAGCCTATGAATTGAGTGTACTTTGTGATTGTGAAATCGCTTTACTCATTTTTAATACCAATGGAAAACTTGTTCAGTATGCTAGTACAGATATTGATCAAATATTAATGAAGTACACTGAAGTAAACATGGACAACATAAAGACTATCTACAATAACCTAACATATATTATAGTATAGTGACCCACATGAAAGCAAGTCAAACCTGGATGTAAGTTTAGCTGCGGATATTAGGATTGGTATTAAGATGATGATATAGTTTATGAACGGAGACGGGGATGTATGGGAAACACATGAGGATCATGAAACAGCAGATGAAGAAGGAGCAAATGACGTATCTAGGTCAAAAGAGGGATCATCTGTATCTGATAAGCATTATCATCAAACTTCACCACAGCCGCAATCACAGATAGCTCATCACACTCAACAACAACAGCAACAACAACCACAGTCTCCTAAACAGCATCCTCATCTTACTCATGTACCACAACAACAAGCAACTGTTTATCAGCCTCAACAGTTTCTCCCCGGAAGATATGTAGCGCCTGTAGGATATCCTCCTTCTCAGGCAGGAGCGATTTCAGGATATTATGACATTTACACCATGCAACCTCAACCAATGTATATGGTACAAGGTCAAGTTGCAACACCCTACGCAACTGTTGTATCAGCCCAACCTCCACAGCATACAAACCTCATGACTACATCAGTACCCACCAACGCCTCTTCAGCTCCACCGTCAATATCCCAAAGCCATTCAGGCCAGCACAAGCGACATCCAACAAATCTAAAGGTAGAAATTCCCAATGAAAAGACATCCGCCTTTTTACCCGCACCGCCTGTTCCACCTCCACCGCAGCCCTCTCTTTATTCTATCCCTCCTCCTTCTGCCCTTCCTTCACAGTTTGCTCAAAATATACCGTCACCCTCCACCTATTACCCAGAATTCTATCAACAAAACGAATTGCCCAGCCCACTTAATTTTTCAGCGACGCCCTTAGCAACAAGTACATTTCATTGGCCGTCAAGGGGCTCTATAAGTGCTCAGGGTGCTGCAGAATATAAACCGTCTCCTTTAGCAAAAAGGTAAATGTAATGACAAAAGCAAGAGGATGTAGCTAACTTTTTTATTTAGTGAGATAGCACGTAAACGGGCAAGTGATTCGGGAGATGAAGAAACTTTGGATGAAAATGCGAAAAAGATAAAGACATGATATGTACAAATCTCTGTTTAAGCCTTTAGTGTCAATATATATATATTTTATATTAGTGTATACAAACTTAGCTATGTATGATTTTCCCTTGTTTTTTTATGTTATTTGAGGTACATTTGTATATTTGCTATGAATTAAGAGCTTCTCAAGCCCCAGATTGTGTGCTTTTATGTGTGATGACATTGGGATGACTAATAAGCGCCCATCGAAGCTTCGAGGCATCTGTGAAAACCGCGTATTTCGTAAATTGGGTGATTATACTTCAATCAATATGATCAATGTTATCTTTCATCAAGATCAAAGTATATTCAAGCTTTCCTTTATAAAAATAGTCTCCAGATCCATGACTTTAGAACTTGCTGAACCTGCAAGTACCTTTTCGATGGTGAACCACTCTAAAAAGTAAGTATGCTTTGAATGTAGCTTTAATCTGAAACATAATTCATCCATACCAGATAAGCTTTAATTACTAGCTAAGCTCCTGGTATTAATAAAAAGACACTGCAGACGCTTTAGAGACAATATGCAACAGCTGTGAGAACTAGTTTTGACAATGGTGTAGAAGCAAAAACGACTACTAATATATCTGCCGTTCTGTGTCCGTTTGTCCCCGCGCTTCTTTGGAATTCGCCTGATGATCTTTTTTTTTTTCTGAAATTACCGTGCCATATCTCTTGCCTGTCAAACTTTAATTTTTGTCTCATATGCTCCCTATTCGGAATGTTGTCCATCCTATTCGATCACTTTTATACTGTTCACGGATTACGTAGTCATAATATATAACATTTCTTTATTTCTAAAATGACATCTTTTTAAAAAGAAAAATAATACGTCAATTCGAATTTTATGAGTAAAATATCCAGTGTATCTTAAGTTTGACATTTGCACAAACGTTCAGCATTAAAAAAAAAAAAACACATATCTTTTTATATATATGTATATATATCTTTTGCTTGCTTGCTTATGTGCATTAACAACCAAGGGTCAGGTATCGACTGTTTCACACACAGCCTGAGGATCGAACCTATTTTCTGTCTAAAGTAATAAATAGGCTTTGGAAAGCTTGATTATCCCAAGTCTCTGTTGTTGCCGTTGCTGTTGTTGATAACTGATTGGGCGCTGCATAAGGATCAACATTCTCTATGGAATATCCTGTTTCATTGAATGAGCTGAGCATTTCACATTGGCTGTAACCTAGATAATGATGACAACATATTACTAAACAATGTAATTTCTTTCTTTATCTTTACAATACCTTCTCTGTCTATACTTTGACGTAAGCGCGAAGACCCATGCATCATATATTGATCATTCATATAGGAGTGTGGATGTGTTTCTGGCACAGAAGTAGCTAGTCGATGCTGTGTTTGTGTTGGATAAGGTATAAAAGTACGATGTGCCTTTTTAGGCGACTTTTTGGGTGAGCGCGTCAACGTATTTGCTGTCCTACGATGGACAATAGCATTCGGCTGAGACACCTCGGTTGGTGGTTTATTTTGAGAATCAGGGTGATTGAATAACGAGTCGTACTCTTGCTTTAAACGGCCCATGAGTTCTGCTTTTCTGCCAGTAACAGACAAACCTCTTTCTCTCAAGAAATCCTTGAGCTCTGCAACCGTAATGTCATCAAAATTAACCTTTGAAAGTCTTTCATCCATCCTTTGGCGGCGACCTTCTATACTCGTACGTTTCCGCGGCATAGTGATAATTCTTTCAATTTGAACAGGCGAGGCTTTTGCGTTGTTGGGATGAGGTGAGGAAAGGGTATCACTGCTGGGATCGAAGCTGAGTTGAAGTGGAACAGACGAGGAACGCCTAGAATCTTCGTGGTCATGGTAGACTTGAGAATGGAATGGCTGTATAGAGTGAGATGTTGGGACATTTATAGGGTGCTGTGGCCATAGTTGATTAGTATTATAGTACTGGTGTGAAGGAGCGTGAATAAGCGGGTTAGATTCGGAAGATGAAGAAGATTCCGGAGAACGGGAGAAAATATCATTCGGTAGTGAAGCAGACTGTGTCATGTGAAAATATAATTAGCCAGTTGTTTGTATGTTATTTATATGCTGTTTACCATTGCAGGATAATGCATTGAAGTAAAGCCTTTTGGGGAATGAAAGCCAATTGAATCAACATAAGCAAAATCATGATTGATGTGATGATTCATAGGCATATCTAAAGGTTCTATTAAACTATTGTTTGCGAATTGATCGCTGAGTTGCGCAGTAGCACAATCAGGATTATCCTGTATGGCTTGAGCAGGGTCGAATGGACTGGTTAGAAGAGGAAGTGTATTCCCATTTGATAGTGTTGAGTCATGTTCATAGTACATTGTATAATAAAGAAACTGAGAAGAAAGAAGAAAAGATGTTATTGTTCAAGCAGGTTATTTTCTATGCCTTTGTTTAATTTCAAACTACGCCTATTTCCTTTTCTAGTACAGAACGTTCTAAAAGATGCGGATCTGAGCAATTATGTTTGCCATGTGGAGGAATGGACTTGGCAATCCTATTTTAGTAATTATCGGACATCCGTCTTATTTTAAGCTTTCCTTAATCATCATATTATGTATTATTAAACACTGATCAAGTAAGACCGCCTTAAATGGTGTTTAATTCGGCTGCGGATTATACTTTATGATATCATATAATATTATATATCACTTATCGTAAATATATAAGAGTGTTTCTACACTTTAGTATTACGCAAATCCGATGTCAGTAAAGCAGTGATATTTAAGCACCCAACGAGTTGAAAAAAAGGGCCAAGATCGGGGTTGGCAGGTGTCAAACAGAAACAAAATCCATGTCATGTGTAAAACAAGAAAGAGAGTTCCTTTTCATATAAATCGATCATTTGTTCCCTCGGAGGTAAGTAACTTAAATCAAAAAAGGAAATTCACATTTACCAAAAAATTTAAAAGATGTATAGCAAACTATCTATAATGACAAGAGTTAATATTCAAATCATGGAGTGTTTATCGTCGTCTTTAATAGCCAAGGTACTACTACAAAAAGAGCTAATCCCCAAAAAAGAAAAAGAAAAGGTATAATGGGAAGATTGAAATCTCTGTGTTTGAAAGTTAGTGATTACTTGTGAACGGGGACTCATTTATGCACATCAAGTCATTTGTAATTCTTTCTTTGATTGACCTTTATTGTAAAAACAATCAAAGGAATTGCATTTGAACATTTGAACTTGCTTTGGATGATCCTAATTATATCATTGCCAATACTCTTTTTTTTTTTTTCCCAATAAGCATTACTGTCAGATCTACTCTTTGGTTGTATGACAATCTACGCTGATCGAAATATTCGCTATTTTGGCAATTGGAAAGAGACAAATGTTGTTAATACAGAGTTTCTAGCTTGCTGTGTGGAGCAGAGACGCATTTTCGCTATACGACCGTAATAAGCCAGATAACGGACTGATATTCCATCTTTTGTTTCAATTCTTTGTACGCTGCGCTTCTTGCTAAGCTTGTATAGCATTGCCTTTTAGCACTACAACGTCTCACTTCAAGTGCCATGCTAGGATGCGCCAGAGTTGTAGTAAAAACTTGTTTTCTGGAGTATGTCAAAAACAAATTCTCGACTTCAGCCAAGTCAAATTCTTCCAAGCAAAGAAAGTCGAATTCTTTTTACTTGCAAATATGAAACAAGCTCTGAAGCCATCTGTTTAAATAGGGCAGATAGAATGTGTATTACTACAAATTTTCCTCTAGACTAAAAATAAACAGTAGATTTTCAAAGATATTTTATCTTTACTAATCTTTATAGAGTATTCTTAATACGCCATAGTTGATATGCAGTGGTTATTTATTACACTCTGAGCTACTGTTTTATTAAAAATAAATTTCAGAAAGAGGATAAAATTACGATGTGTATGAAAAAAAATAATTGGCGCATATTAAAAAAATATTTACGCAAAGGTTAAAAATAAAATACGTGCGAAGGAGACGACATGCAAGTGAGAGTAATAAGTACCAAAGAGAGAATATAAAGAATTATACA